TTGTTTTTTATTTTTTTTTAATATAAGAGAAGGGTCTCTTAAAAAGGCTAAAACCTATGCCAATTTCTCTCTTCATACCCTCTCTTTTTAATCATTTCATTTAACAAATTGTTTTGAAAAAAATCCAAAATAAATATAAGAAGTTCGGTAAGCAGATTTGTTGACTGAAATTCACAACAACCGGCCAGTAAACTTCTTTTGAAATCAATTTAGCTACAGCCACTATGGCAAATTCAAGATCTAGGGAACCACAACCCTAATTCTTGGTACAATGTAGCAAATAAACATTAACATACATATATTTGAGTTTCTAAGGAACAACCATAATGTAAACATACAAGAAAAAAGTTTGAAACCCTAATCCCAGAGAAGAGACAAAGAAGAGAGTGGTGAAGTGAAATCAACTAGTAAGATAAACCCTAGAGAAGAGAAGGGATTATATAGTAGAGGATCAGGGTTTTAGAGTTGTGATCTGGTTCGGGTTTGACTCAGCCCCATTCTAAAACTTGGATTGGGCTTTTACCAAACTATTGGATGATTTAGCCCAAAAGCTTACTTTTTTTTTATTTGTTAAGAGCATTCCCAATGGTAGGTGGGGGTGGGCACCTGCCACATCAGCAAATCCCACCCCAAAAACCACAAAATCTTAGAGGTGGCCTAGCTTAAAAGTGGGGGTTTCCCAGTGCAAATGTGGGATAGATGTTGGCACGGCAGTTGGAGTGCCGGATCAAACAAAAAAAGTCCATATGGCAGTTGGAGTGCCATATGGCAATAGGAGTGCTGTATGGCAGTAGGAGTGTCATACGGCAGTAGGAGTGCCGTGCGTCAGTAGGAGTGCCGTGCGTCCATAAAAATGTTGAAATCTATATTGACATGGCAGTAGGAGTGCTATACGGCAGTAGGAGTGCCGTGCGTCCATAGAAATATTCCGACAGTTCTAATGCCGTATGGAATAGATATTGGCACGACAGCCGTTTGTTTTGGACAGGCATTCCAACTGCCGTGTGGTCTTTGCACAAGGTGGCCACCAAGGTGAGCCTCCCCACCCCTATGCCCACCTTGGTGGCCTTGAGGTGCCCACCCCCACCTCTCCATTGAGAAACTGATTTTTGGCCTTAGAGGTGGATTTCATATTTTTTTTGCCCACCCCACCTACCATTGGGAATGCTCTAAAGTAGTCAAATGTATATAGGACCCTTTGTAGATGTCAACCATACCAAGTACTTTGATAGTTTTAAGTCCAATATATGGTCCTATATGGATTTATATGTGATGGAAGAGAAATCATCTAGTGTTTCCAATATATGATTCTTTGTAACACGTTGTAATCACACTATGCTATATGATTTTTAAGTAATGATCATTATGCTTTCAAATAATAGCGCAATGAGACAATGGATGCAAATATATAAATGTAATGCATTACACTATAGCCCTGCTTGGTGACTATGCAAAACTTTGCTTAAAAATTAGCCTAATTTAATATTGTCGAAACTCTATATCAATACTTTCATGAACAAATTTGATGCAAAACTTTGATGTCTTTTTAAGAGTGCAAAAATTTTACATTT